ACATAGATGGAGAGCAGAGACAGCTGGCAGGGGCTAGAGGAGGAAAGAAAGGGGAATAAAGAAAGGGGAGGATTGCTAATCGGGGGGTGTTCTGAGGAAACAAGAATGTTCGGGAACTAGATAACAGGTGATGGTTGTGCAACATTGTGAATGTTCTCAATGCTACCTAATTGTATACTTTTTTTGGGGGGGGCAGGTGGGAAGTAGCAGGGATTGAACTCAGGAGCAGGGAACCACTGAGCCCCATCCCCAGCCCTATTTTGTATTTTATTTAGAGACAGGGTCTCACTCGGTTGCTTAGCGCCTTGCTGTTGCTGAGGCTGGCTTTGAGCTTGCGATCCTCCTGCATCAGCCTCCTGAGCCACTGGGATTACAGGCGTGTGCCACCGCTCAGGACTAATTGTATACTTTCAAGGGGTTACAGCCAGGGAAGATGGTGCACACCTGTAACCCCTGTACTCAGGATTGAGGCAGGAGGATCACAAGTTCAAGGCCAGCCTGGGCAATTTAGTGAGATTGTCTGAAAATAAAAAATAGAAATAGAATAAAGGCTGGGGATGAAGCTCAATGGTGGGGCACCCATTCAATTCCTAGTACTGCAGGGTTTTTTTTTGTTGTTGTTGTTGTTTTAAGTGGTTACAATGGTAAATTTTATAGTATATGTTTTATGGTTGAAAGAAATTGATGGTTAAAATGGCTAGTTGCATGTTACATGAATTTTGCCATACATTTTAAAGATGCGATTTTCCCTGCAGTTGCTGTAAGGAGCTGTCGCATGCACGCCCTGCTCTGCGTGGTGTGTGCTGGTTCCTGTCCCCACACTCCCCTACACCCCGTGTGTTTGGCCAGCTCTTCCCGCTACCTGTTGACTTCCTTAATCTGAAACTAAACTGAGCACTTTATTAGGTCCCAAAGCAATGACAGACTTGGGCCCTGCACAAAGGATCACCGCCACCATGCTGGCATACTTGCACAGAGGTGACAACAGTCATTATCATCAGAGTCCTTTGTGCCCCTCCACCCACAGGAGGCTGTAGGGGGGGGACTCTGCACAGTCTATTAGGGGCCCCCCTCCTGCCCGAATTCCAACTCCCTAAGGCGGGCCCCTTCCTAAGCGGACCCCACTGTAAATTGGTCCTTCCCTGAGAATGGCCCAACCTCCAAGTGAGGCTCGTCAGACCCCATCAGACCCGAAGCCCCCAGCACCTGTGTGAGGCTCTGCACGTGTCGCCTGGACTGTGTGCCTGCCCTGGGGTGGCCCTTCCTGGTCAAAAGCACTCCCCGCGCCACCTACTGACCCCCGCTGCCCCAGACACCCCAAATCAAGAGCAGGAGTGTCCTGTGTGCTCCAGAACTCGGAGGGGTGATCAAAGTACCCAGGGAAGGGAAGCTGCTGGGGGATGAGGCCGACCAAATTACGTTACATACACGGACGAATATTGCAAAATGAACCCCATTTTTATGTCAAATTATAACTGTATGATTATAAATGCAAAAAAGGAAAGCCCTCAAGGAGAGCCCCTTACTGACTGGCACAGGGCCAAGGCCTTCCGGAAGAGGCCCGGACCCCGGCTCAGCGGACCCCGGGGGGCAGGCTGCGCCCCCCTCCGCCCCTCCCCCTGCCCCCGCAGCCCGGCAGCTGGGCCGCCCTCCGCCCAAATCACGCGGGATCTGCGCAAGGCCCACCCGGTGGGCGTTTTCCCCGCCCACCGACGTCGTGCGTGAAGCACGATTGCGCAAAGCGCCGGAAGTGCCCGGGAGCTTGGCCAGCCGCCAGGTCGGAAGTCTCCTTGGCAACCAAACTCGCACCGCCCTCAGCGCGCCCAAGATTAGTATTTGGTGCCCTCTAGAGGTCGCGGGGCTACCTGGCCCATGAGGGGTCTGGCGACGTGGAGAGACTCATTCAGGGTCACTTAGATCCAAGCCCTTTGGCATTTTGCTGCCCCTTGTTAAATTATTTTATTTTATTTTTTAAAGGACACAGGTCCGGGAACAGTGGCGCACGCCTGGAATCCCAGCACCTCGGGAGGCTGAGGCAGGAGGATGGTGAGTTCAAAGCCAGCCTCTGCAACTGCGAGGCTCTAAGCAACTGAGTGAGACCCCGTTTCTAAATAAAATACAAAATAAAGCTGGGGATGGGGCTCAGTGTTGAGTGCCCCTGAGTTCAATTCCTAAAAAAAAAAAAAAAAGAAAGAAAAAAAAAAGGCAGACACAGGGCTAGGGTGTGGAGACCCTGTGTTCAATCCGCAGCACCTCCACAAATCAAATAAATAATTGGAAAAAGAAAACAATAAAATCCTTATGCACGCACACATACCCAGAACACCTATAGGAAACCAATAAAGCTCAAGCATCAGGCCGCTCCCTTGCAGAGAACCCTTCGGGGATGCCTGAAATGAATGCACATAATCACAAAGGTTTATAAAATGTGCAAAAGACAACAATTCGAACTGTTATTGGCTGTCTCTTCCCACTCTGACTTTTCCCACTGTGACCTCTCCCAGGGGTCCTGCAGCATTAGAAAGGCTGAGGGACTTTGGGACCTGGAGAAGTTGCCTCAAAGATGCATTCTGGGTGGTTTAATGGGCTGTGTTTCCACATACTGTTTTTACTGGCCATTCTGGGGTAGGAATGACTTCCAGGAATAATCCCGCTGCCCGCCTGGCATCATGACACAGAGCTACAGCAGCTGCCACGTGGGTGGTGGAGGAGAAGCAAGGTTTGAAGTGATAGATCCAGAAGCTGGTCCTGTGGAAAATTCTTCCAAACATTATATACGAAAACATGTGAGCAGATCAAAAAGAAAGTTTTTTCCTGTCAAGAATAATATAATAAAGCCAGATGGTGTTGCTGCAAGACTCCAATCCCAGCAACTCGGGAGGCCAGGGCAGGAGGATGGTAAATTGGAGGCCAGACTAAGCAAGTTAGGGAGACCCTGTCTCAAAATAAAAAATAAAGGATAAAGGACAAAGGACTGCAGATGTGGCTCAGTGGTAAACTATCCAAATCTCCAGTACAAAAAAATAAATAAAAAATAAAAAATAAAAAGAGTTATCACTGGATATAGTTGCATGCTTACAATACAATAAAATTATTTTTCAGAAATTTTATGGGTAACAAAAGAAACCATTCTGACATCAAGAAATAAATTGTAACCAGAGAAGTGAAAAATTGTGCTCCTTCTGTTGTCATTTATAATTTATTAGAACAAATAAAAAGATACCTTGTAAAATCTGCAACACTAAAAAAAAAAAAAAAGGAAAAAATTGGGTTTTTGTTTTTTTTTTTGTGTGTGTGTGTGTGTGTGTGTGCCAGGGATTGAACTTAGGGGCACTCAATCACTGAGCCCCATCCCCAGCCTAATTTGTATTTTATTTAGAGACAGGGTCTCACTGAGTTGCTTAGGGCCTCACAGTTGCTGAGGCTGGCTTTGAACTCGTGATCTTCCTGCCTCAGCCTCCCGAGCCGCTGGGATTACAGGAAAGTACCACCACACCTGGCTTTCCCTGGCCCTTTTAATTTTTTTATTTTCAGACAGCATCTCGATAAGTTGCTTAGGATCTTGCTAAGTTGCTAAGGTGGGCTTTGAACTTGCGATCCTCCTGCCTCAGTCTCCTGAGCTGCTGGGATTATAAGCATGAGCCACTGTGCCCAGCAAATTTGCAGCTTTTATATGAAAGAAACTTTATAGAGGTTCCCCAAATTTGAAAACGATCCTTAAAATGTACACAGAGTGGAGCTGGACCAGGTGATACAGCTGTAATCCCAGCAACTCAGGAGACTGAGGCAGGAGGGTCACAAATTTGAGGCCAGCTTTGGCAGTTTAGCATGACCCTGTCTCAAAAATAAAAAGGGCCTGGGGTGTATAGCACAGTGGTAAAGCACTTGCCACAACATGGCCAAAAAATAAAAAATAAAAATAAAAAAATAAAAATAAAAAAAAGCAAGTATACAGAATTATTAACCAATTTTGAAGCTGAAAGTTTTCTGAACCCTCCATAATGAAAAATATTTCCTGCCTGGTGCAGTGGCACACGCTTGTGATTTCAGCAATTCTGGAGGCTGAGGCAGGAGGATCACATGTTTGAGGCCAGCTTCTGAAATTTAGCAAGATCTTAAGCAAGTTAATGAGACCTTGTCATAAATAGGTAGGTAGGTAGGTAGATAGATAGATAGATAGATAGATAGATAGGGTTGGGGATGTAGCTTAGTGTAAAGCGTCTCTGGGTTCCATCCCCAGTACCAAAAACTTGAAAACATATACATAAGCATTCCTTATTTGTATTCGTATTGTGTGTGCGTGTGTGCGCATGTCTTTAGTGGTGTGGGGATGGAATCCAGGGCTTAGGAGCATGCTCTAGGGATACACTCTACCCCTGAGCTGCAGCTGCACCCCCAACCCTGTGTTCTTTTTTTTTTTTTTTTTTGCAGAGCTGGGGGTTGAACCCAGAGCCTTGTGCATGCAATGCAAGCACTCCACCAGCTGAGCTACATCCCCAGCCCCTCTTCTTTTGTTTTTTTTAAAGGGCCACTCAGATTGTACAATCAAGCAGCACAAAACCTGGACCTGCCCCCACACACCTGTGCATACACACGCACAGGCACAAACACTCCCACTCCCACAGACACACCTGGCACGTATTCCAGAGAATTCATAGAATCACACCATTACCACAGACGGATTAAAAGCTTGTTCCAAGGAGAATGATTTTCCACTAATTAAGCCAATTTGACTAATTAAGCTAATTTGACTAATTAAGCTAATTTTCCTGTTGGTTCCCCGGGTGCTTTCCATTCCTTCCGTGTCACCCCCAAAGAAATCACAGAGGATGGCTTAGGGCCATGATTCGCCATTCTCTCAGACAGAACGGGGTGGTTTTCTTCTTTAGTCTTAGGGGTATTTTAGGATTATCATCATCTGTTATGTTAAAAAAAAAATCCAACTTTCATTTTTCGTTAGCATTTCATAAGCTAAATTTCTTTATTTTGTTCTCTAGACACTTATAGGAAGAGAGCTTTTTAAAGATCTGTTGCTCAAAGTTAAGCAGATGCAAACTGAAGAGAGGTCCCCTGTCCCCTGGAAAGGGACAGTGATATCCTGGTTGGTGGCGTGTTTCTGGTTCCCTGACAGTTTTTTTCTTTTCGGTTAGGTTGTCCTAGAAGAGGCAGAAGGAGATGCCAGATGGTGAAAAATAGGTTTATGGCACCAAAATAGTGTTGTGTTTATTAAAAACTAAGCTAGTATTGAACTCTGAGGAAGAGTGTCCACATTTAGCATGAATCTTGGCGTGTCTGACCCTCCCACAGGGAAAACCCAGTGGGCCCCCTGTCTGCTGGGGGTGTCGCTGCAGACTGTCTTCTGCAGGGCAGGGCTGCCTGCATAGGATGCTGGAGGGTCCCCCAAGCCTGCTTCTTGAGAGGCCAGTTTGGTGTGGGCCTCTCTGCCTCCCTCTCCATACAACCCACCACCATGGGACTGAGTCCCCAGCTGGACTCTTATTCACCCACACCTCCTTCATTCTGGCCACTGTGCTGTGCGTTGGGTGGTGTGTGTGTTTGCCACTTGATTGCAAAGCTAATAGATGTGTGCTTCAACTTCAGGGTGCTGAAGGATATGCATGGGCTTCAGAGCGAATGTGACAATTAATTGTGTTTTAAGCCAGGTGCAGTGGCGCATGCCTGTAATCCCAGCGGCTCCAGAGGCTGAGGCAGGAGGATCTCCAGTTGAAAACCAGCCTCAGCAATTTAGCAAGGGGCTAAGCAACTCAGTGAGATCCTGTCTCTAAATAAAATACACAAAGGGCTGGGGATGGGGCTCAGTGGCTTACTGCCCCTGGGTTCAATCCTCAGTACCAAAAAAAAAAAAAAAAAGAAAAAGAAAAAGAAAAATATTCATGTTTTAGCTACACACACACACTTTATTTTATTTTGGTACTAGGGATTGAACCCTGGACTGCTTAACCACCGAGCCACATCTCAAGCCCATTTTTAAAATATATTTTATTTGGAGACAGGTTCTCATTAAGTTGCTTAGAACCTCGCTAAGTTGCCAAGCCTGGCTTGGAATTTGTGATCCTCCTGCCTGGCCTCCTGAGTGACTGGGATTACAGGTGCACACTACCACACTCAGCTAGCCCTACATATCTTTATTGATCGGTTGCAATACTGGGGATTGAACCCAGGGATGCTCTACCACTGGGCTTCATCCTCAGCCCTTTCTATGTTTTATGTTGAGACAGGGTTAAGGCTGGCCTCAAACTCATGATCCTCTTGCCTCAGCCTCCCAAGTCTCTGGAATTATAAGTGTATGCCACTAATACCTGTTGGTCCTACATATTTAGCTGTTTGGGGATGTAGTTATTTCCCTCTTGAATTTTAAATATAAGACTACTCAGGTCATGTCACAATATTCAGTGGTGAAACTGTGTTTTGCAGTGCTGCAGATTGAACCCAGGACCTCAAACACACTAGGTAAGCACTCTACCACTGAGCTACATCCTCAAACTTTTAATTTTTTTATTTTGAGACAATGTCTTGCTAAATTGCCCAGGCTGTCCTTGAATTAGAGATCCTCCTGTCTCAACCTTCTGAGTCCCTGGGATTACAGGAGTGTACCACCACACCCTGTGAAATCTTGTCTGTTAATATCATTTCCATTCTGTTTTATTTAGAATCAGAATAAGGTATATTTCAAATATCTTTTGAAAAAAGAAAAAAAGAAAATGAATAATAATGGTCATAGCTTCGCACCACCAGATCACCTCTATGACAGATGTAACAGTAAGAATCTTACAACCAGATGTGGTGGCACTTGCTTGTAATCAATCCCAGCAACTCTGGAGACTGAGGCAGGAGGATCACAAGTTGGAGGCCAGCCTCAGCAATTCAGTGAGGGCCTGTTTCAAAATAAAAATGAAAAGGTGCTGAGTGGGCTGGGGATATAGCTCGGTTGATAGAGTGCTTGCCTCACATGCACAAGGCCCTGGGTTCAATCCCCAGCACCACAATAATAAATAAATAGATAAATAAAATTAAATAAAAATAAATAAATAAATAAATAAATAAATAAATAAAAAGAGACATTCATGGGACACAAACTGCAGCCAGTTGTTAAAAGGCCACAAATCCTTTTCTCCTAGCATGCGCATCACTTTGCAATGTGTCTCTGCCCTTGGTTCCTCCCCATCCAGAACTGGGGGTCTTGTTCTCTCCCCACCTCCACCGCAGGCTGGCTTAGTTTTGTGACTTGCTTTGCTCAAATAGAAGGGACTCCTACGCGTCAGGAAGCTTGAGACTTCCGTCTGGCTTCTCTTGGAGGAAGCTGATTGCTTTATAAAGAAGCCCATGGGGCCTCCTGGGGGTGGCTGTGGTGGAGGGGAGAGTGGTGGGTGCCGGCCGCAGCCCTGCAGTAGCTGGCACACCTCGGCTGAGGATGCAGCTCGGTGGTAGAGAGCCTTCCTAGCCGGCCAGAGGCCCTGGGTTTGAGTCCCCAGCTCTGCAGTCAGCCCAGACAAAAGGACAGCCAGGATGGTTGCTCCCCATAATGGTGGGAAATAAGAAAAACTATTATTTGGGGTGATTATGTTCTGGGGTTGGTTTGTATTGGATATGGAAAATGAAAAACCCCAAAATAGTGAGGCCTGGGAGAAGAAAGTGAAAAAGAAAGCCATACATTGATAGCTGTCGTCTCTTTCAAGATAAATCCTTCCCAGATGCTGGCCGCAGGCCGGGAGAAAGTGTTTCATCAAACCTAGAGTGATAGTCCCTAGGCAACATGACCGCCTCCAAAATAAACCCCGGCCACCCACCCCCAAGCCCAAGACCCAAATTCCTGAGTACCCAGACTGACACGCTCACTCAGTCACCCACAACCTGCATAAGCCCAGTCCCCGCCTTTGTTCAGTGGCTCATTTACCACCAGGAAAGGGGGTCTATCTCGTAGGTATAGTCCCGCTCCTGAATAAAGGCTGAAATGACCCGTGAAGCTTGCATCCAGCCCGATCTCTTTGGGCTAACAGTTTGTAACACAGCAAACATTAACTAAAACAGAACGTCAATCTGTCACTAAAACAAGAAGAGGCTGGGAGCAGGGGTGCACATCTGTAACCCCAGCAGCTTGGGAGGCTGAGGCAGGAGGATCGCGAGTTTGAGGCCAGCGTCAGCAATTTAGCGAGGCCCTAAGGAACTTGGTGAGACCCTGTCTGTAAATAAAACACACAAAAAAGGGCTGGGGATGTGGGGATATGGCTCAGTGATTAAGTGCTTAGATACCCTTGAGTTCAGTCCCCAGTACCCCCCCCAAAAAAAAAAGAAAAGAAAAAGAAAAAGAAAGAAAAAAAAAAGAAATAAGAAAAATAGAAAGAAAGGATGTTGGGCGCAGGTGGCACACACCTATAATCCCAGCTCCTCCAGAGGGTTGACCAGGACAGGGAGTGGGGAGGGTCAGAGACAAAACAAAATGGGTCCTACACTGGTCATTGCTGACGCCGAGGATTCATTATCTAGTCATCTGCTTTTATCATTTTTTTGAAATTTTCCATAACAAAGAGTTGAACAAAGTGGGGGAGGGGGAGGTTGGAGGGATTTTAATAGGAAATTTACCTGCACACTTGCTCCTGTCGCCTTTTCTGGTTGAGTGCATTTTCTGTACATGCTTGCGACTGGTGCAGAAAGGAAACCCATTTTCCTCCACCAGGTCCACTTTTGACCTCCCAAATGCCCTTCTGCTCACCCCTGAGCTGTGCAAATATAGACATTCATATACATTTTTCTGGGGAATAAGATGGGGAGCCCCACCCACCCCTATCCAGGAAGGTCTCCCCAAGCACTTCGTGCTCCACCAGGGCGGGAGCTCCCTGTGCAGCTGTTCAGGTTGGTCACAGTGCAAACTAAGGCCCAGGCCAGCTTGCTTGAAGGTGGCGGACGTGGGAGCTGAGAGGAGCGACAAGGCCCTTCTATCTTGCCGCCTCGGCAAAGACAGGTCAGGCAGAATCACAAACCAGTTCCACCTCTCCAGGGAAGGGACATCCCTACAGGAGGGGACAGAAGGCTTCTGTAGCCAGATTTAAGGCTCACCCTTCCTGCTCGCCTGTGGCCTTATGGGAGGGGACCGCTTGCCCCTTTGAGTCCCCTCTGAGCTTAGATCATGGCCCATTGTAAACAGTCTTGTGAAAGCCAGGGTGTCCCCCGTACCACCCTGAAGCCCAGGAGCGCGCTTCCAACGAGGCAGGCGCCTGGGCGTCCCCGGCTGGCTGCGACAACGGGAGCGCTGTCGCTTCTCTAGAGTGCTACCCAAGTTTCCACCGCCTGGTGGAGCTTGCACCCGCTTTTTAAGCGACGTTTGCAATGATCGATGCGAGCTCTCGGGCCTCGAAGCCACCCTCTCAAGTCCTTTCCTTGCAAGGACGCCCAGAACCCGCCGGGGGAGAGGGCGAGGAAGGGAGGGGACGCAGGGCGCCAGGCAGGGACGGAAAGGAAGGAGTCGCATTGGTCTGTCGCTTCTGCAGCTCAGGATGGCTGGCACCCCGTGTCCCGGCCCCCTCCCCAGGGCCGGTCTGTCCGGTTGGCTGCCAGGCTGCAGGAAAATGAGCCCCGAGCTTGCAGGGCAGGGCAGCGTGGGGGCTGTGGCTTCCTTTTTATTTTCTGCACACTTATTAATTAAAAAATAAGTTAAAAAACCTACTGCAACAAGGAAAAAATGAAAGAAAGAAAGAAAGAAAGAAAGAAAGAAGGAAAGAAAGAAAGAAGAAAGAAAGAAAGAAAGAAAGAAGAAAGAAAGAAAGAAAGAAAGAAAGAAAGAAAGAAAGAAAGAAAGAAAGAAAGAAAGAAAGAAAGAAAGAAGAAAGAAAGAAAACAGGCGGAATGCACACATCCCCGCGGTCGCTGTTGGTTACATAAGAGGGCGACTGCAGGTCAGTTGACGGTGAACTTCCTCCACGGCTCCTAAGTACAGGCTGCAGGGGTTGGGAGTGAGCGGGGACAGTGGGCCAGAGCTCAGCCGGAAGCTACCCTGGCATCCCTGCTCAGACTTGGCTGGGGGTGACAAAACTAGGCCAACCTGAGAGCCCCCAGCCCACACCCTCCCAGCAGCCTGGGTGCCCACCGACTCCCCCTGATGGTGAGCTCCAGGCAGGCCTCTTCCTTGGTGCCAGGGCCCAGCACCCCTTTTCTCAGGGCCACAGTTGTGGGACTGGACACACCCCTTGCTCCCAAAGTACTGAGCCCCTGGAGTCTCCTTGCTCAGGAATGTAGGACTGGGAAAGAGGAAGGGGAAACAGTATCTAAGAGCCAAACATGTTCTGTGTTGGTTTTCTGTGTTGTCACTCCAAGCAGTCAATATGGCTGTGAGGAAACTTGTATTACCAGGCAGAATGACAGCTGGCTGCATCCGACCAGATAACCTTGTGATAACTTAGAGATCCTCCAAAATGTGCCCAATTACAAGGAGTCTCAAATCAGAGAAAGCCAGGCTGGCCGAACACCTTCACTAAGGATCTCACTCTGTTGCCCACGCTGGTCAGCCACCTGTGGGCTCGAGAGACCCTCCTGCCTCAGCCTCCGAGTGCTGGGATTCACAGGTATGCCCCGCTGTATTTGGATAATAGAAATATATGCTTCTTGTAGAAAATATGGTTGGTCCAGAAAAGAATAAACACTGAAGGAAAAATAAATTATTCCATGTAAATAGGGGCGCTGTGGGAAGCTAAAGGCCTGAGGAGGCAGAGGGAACAGTTGGGGGGAAGAAAAGAGAAGAAGAATATGAGAATAAAGAGACGCTGGCCCAGAAAGGAGCAGGCCTCCAGGGAAGGAGTCCAGACTTTGCTGAGGCCCCGCTCCAATATCCTCCCATCATCCATAGTGATTTCTGTCTTCTGGTTCACAAAGCACCTGTGATCTCTAACTTCTTTCTGAGGTTAACTGGGCTTGAAATTTCTGTGACTTCTAAATTATGTGCCCTCAGAGCCAAGCTTACCTTATCATTTTCCTTTCCACTCTATTTTTTTTTTTAAAAAACTTTATTTTATTTATTTATTTTTATGTAGTGCTGAGTATGGAATCCAGGGCTTTGCACATGTCAGGCGAGCGCTCTACCACTGAGCCACAACCCCAGTCCCTCCACTCTATTTTTTAGAACAGTTTTGGGTTTGGACACCCTCCACCTGAGTGGTACATGGATTACCATCAGTGGATCTGCATTGACACATCATTGTCACCCCAGGTCTATAGTTTATATTAGGGTTTGCTCTTGGTAATGTATATTTGATGGATTTGTGATGCATACAGAGGAGTTTCACTCTCCTCAAAATCCCTGTGCCCACCCTATTTATCTTTCCCCAGTGTCTGACCCTTGGCAACCACTGTTAAAAAAAAAAAAAAAAAAAAAAAGCCAGGTGTGGTGTTGCACGCCTGTAATGCCAATGGCGCAGGAGGCTGAGGCAGGAGGATCGCGAGTTCAAAGCCAGCCTCAGCAATGGTGAGGTGCTAAGCAACTCAGTGAGACCCTGTCTCTAAATAAAATACAAAATAGGGCTGGGGATGGGGCTCAGTGGTCGAGTGCCCCTGAGTTCAATCCCTGGTACCCACTCCCCTCCCCCACAAAATGATCTCCATAGTCTTTCCTTTTCCAAAATGTCATACCATTGAACTCAGACCATGTACCCTTTTCAGTTTAGTTCCTTTCACTTAGCAATTCATTTGACTTTTATGGTAAGAATATCCTGTTTATATTTTCCCAACCCTTCTCTCATTTAGTGTACACAATACACGACATCATCCAATTAAGGGAAAAGTTTATTTCAGACCTTGAGTAAACTGGAATCAACTGTTTTTTCTTTGAGAAAAGAGAAAATAATATTTATTGAATCCTGGAAACTAGAGATCCCAGCATTTCTGGTTTCAGTTGTACCCAACCTGGCAAAAGCAGGCTTTATATATATATATATATATTTAGTTGTAAGTAGACACAGTATCTTTATTTTGCTTTATGTGGTGCTGAGGATCAAACCCAGTGCCTCACGCAGGCTAGGTGAGCGCTGCACCACTGAGCCCCAGCCCCAGCCAGCAAAAATCGTCTTTGACTTCTTCTCTGGTAGGTTCTGGCAGGCCCTGGAGCCTGGCCTGCATGGAGCCATTCTGAGGGCTGTGTGTCCTCCCCTGGCAGCGCGGTTCCTTCTGATTCTGCGGCATGGCCCTGTTTCAGGAACACCGGCCAATGCTCGTGGCGTCTTATTTCTCTGGAGGTCATGATCATCATGCTGTTGGCAGGGGTTGCCTTCACTTAGTCCCCACGCTCTCTGCAGCATCCTCCCTCAACCTAAGAACAAGAACAAAAGAACTGGAAATGGGCAGTCACCTCTTGGTATCTCTGGGACACTGGTTCCAGGCCCTGTGCAGATCCTAACATCTCAGAATGCTCAAGCCCCTTGTATAACATGGCATAGTATTTGTATAAAATCTACACTCATCCTCCCAGACATTTTTTTTTTATACCATCAATTGAACCCAGGGGCACTCAGCCACTGAGCCACATCCCCAGCCCTATTTTATATTTTATTTAGAGACAGGGTCTCACTGAGTTGCTTAGCGCCTTGCTTTTGCTGAGGCTGGCTTTGAACTCCAGATCCTCTTGCCTCGGCCTCCTGCAATTATAGGCATGCGCCATGGTGCCCAGCTTTTTCATATCATTTTTTAAAAGTGTTTATTCTTAAGTTTTAGGTGGACACAATATTTTTCTTTTACATTAATGTGGTGCTGAAGATCAAACCCAGTGCCTCATGCATGGTAGGCAAGCGCTCTACCACTGAGCCACAACCCCAGCCCCTCACATCATTTTTAAGGGTTAGGCTCTGGATGCTTCTGGCTTAGGGATCACATGGGGAAAGTTGCAGTCAAGCTGCTGGCCAGGGTTGGAGTCTCTGAAGACTCAACTGGGGCTACAGGATCCACCTCCAACATCAAAGCTGTGGCTGTTGGCAGGAGGTCTCAGTTCCTTACCATGTGGGCTTAGGACAAGTCTTCCCCCAGTGGGAGAGATGACAGAGAGAGAGAGAGAGAGAGAGAGAGAGAGAGAGAGAGAGACTGACTGGGAGATGAGCCACTGTTTGTTTTTTCCCCATTATCAGGGATTGAGCCCAAGGTTTCATTTACGCTGCGCGGGCTCCCCACTACTGAGCCACCCACCAGCTCCACTCCCTCATGGCCGAGTCTCCTGGTCAGTACCATTATGTCTGGCTTCTCTACTCATCAAGTTCAGTGCACTCTTAACAGCAGGGGATGACACAAAGGCGTGAATTCGGGAAAGCAGAGATCACTGGAGGGCCATCTTGAAGGTTCCCTACCACAGATAGGGAGAGAAGCTGAACAGAAAACGGCCTGACCCTTCAGATAACCTATAGAATTTGCTCTAAGGCTGGGTGCAGTGGCGCACGCCTGTCATCCCAGCAGCTCTGGAGGCCGAGGCAGGAGGATCGCAAGTTCAAAGCCAGCCTCAGCAACAGTGAGACCCTAAGCAATTCAGTGAGACTCTGTCTCTAAATAAAATACAAAATAGGGCTGGGGGTACTGGGGATTGAACTCAGTGGTTGAGTGCCCCTGAGTTCAATCCCCAGTACCCCCCTAAAAAAATTTTGCTCTAGAGATGATAGCAAAAGGCATCCATCCCTGTGTAAATGCTGGTCACCGCTCATCAGGCCCTGTGTCTACACATTTTAGCAGACACTATGGAGAGATATAGACTCATCTAGAACATGACTTCTGTGTACACACGTTCCACTTCTTCAGTACCATGTGGTTGTTAGTATCCCAAGGATATAGACACCAAAGAAGTAGAAGATGTACTTGCTAGTCTTACAAAGGTAAGAATTATGAAAAAATCTCAGGGGCTGGGAATATGGCTCAGTTGGTAGAGTGCTTGCCTTGCATGCACAATCCCCAGCAACACACACACACACACACACACACACGCACACACAATCTCAACTTCATTTAATTCATGTACTTTTTGTGATAATGTTACCAATTGGCTGAGGGGGCTTTGCTCACCAACGGGTGAAGGGCAGCTCCCTTAGCGTTAGCAGCTCTGAGCTTTGAATGCCAGCAGCTCTTGGTGTCAGCAGCTCTCCTTGTTGCTTTCCAGGAAGCTGAAACCAGCAGTTACTGGAACTTTCTAGAATTCTTCAAACAGTCCAATCTAGTGGCTCTCAGCAGCTCTTCTTGCTCCCTACTGTTCTGTTACCTAGCCACGCTCAGATAACCAGCCCTCAGCACAAGCAGCTCAGCCTACTCAAGATAGAAATCACAGCCTGGCTCCGTGGTGCACACCTGTAATCCCAGTGGCTCAGGAGGCTGAGGCAGGAGGATAGCAAGTTCAAAGCCAGCTTCAGCAACTTAGTGAGGCACTGAGCAACTCAGTGAGACCCTGTCTCTAAATAAAATATCAAAAGGGCTGGGGATGGGGCTCAGTGGTTGAGTGCC